AGGGGCACACAGGGTGAGGAGGTAGACTGACACTGATAGGGGGAAAAAAAACCAAACATCACACTGTTTCCAACAGCTCACGTTGGCATGAATTGGTGGGATATACATAAGCTCTATGTTTGGAATAGGGTTAATATTAGAGTTCAGTTTACAGGAATCTGAAGAATTCAGGAGAATCCAGGATCTTCCAAGACCTCTGGGGCTTTGGTGAAGAATGAAACAAGAGTAGGTTGAATTTATTTTCAGGTTAGCAAAAGCTTGATAGAACAAATTTAGGCTTATATCAAAGGTTTGAAATTAGGTTGGATTCCAGAGAAATGGGAACTGAAGGGTTCAATTTACTGCTGAATTTTGCACAACATACAGGAAAACATGATCAGTGCTGGCAAATAATTTATGGCTCATTCAGAGCATGATGGTTAAATGTAAGGACTAGTCAACTGAGAGCTAGAACACTTCAGGTTAAGTAGAGCAGCTGATTTCCAAGCAAAGGAATGGTTCATGCATAGTTCCACATTTATGCTTAAGATTAAATACAGCTGGGCTTAGCTTCTTGCTATTTTGGTAGCGAAAGAGTTTGTTTTCTTGATCAATCTGATAAATTTAGATGTTAAGTTGTAAGGAGTATTAGACTTGTTGAAGAAAATTTTGTTTAGTTCAGTGTTTGTTACCTTCTTTATCAGCTCTAACTAGGCAGGAGTTTCCTCATGGGAGTTCAGATACTTTATTTTTGGGGCCGAAGGGAAGAGATTACATTGGACAAAGCCAATTTTGATGAGTTTAAAGCTATGATCTGAGTGAGCATATTTTGTGACTCCATAGGTAAATAATACTTGCGTTCTAAGATTTTAGCCAGATTTATGGTAAGCTGGCTAAGACTAGTTGGACAAACAATGCACCTAATTAGAATAATTAAGTTTGGAAAGGACCACTAAGATTATCTGTTCAACCATCAGCCAATCACAGCCATGTTCAGTGACCCAAGTCCCTCAGTTCCACTTTTATAGGTTCTTGAACAACTCCAAGGACCACCCTGGGCAGTCTGTTCCAATGCTTCACTACTCTTTCAGAGAAGAAATTTTTCCTAATATCTAACCTGAACCTCCCCTGGCACAACTACTGGCCGTTCCCTCTTGTCTGATTGTTAGTTACACAGGAAAGGAGGCCGACTCCCACCTCGCCACAACCTCCCTTCAGGGAGTTGTAGAGAGCAATAAGGTCTCCCCTGAGCCTTCTTTTATCTAGACTGAACAATCCCAGTTCCCTCAGCCACTTCTCATAAGACCTGTTTAAAAGTGTTTGTGGAGATCAAACATCAACATGCTTTTTCCGGATCTGATATAGGAAGGATGCACACACATACACATACACATACACATACACATACACATACACATACACAGACATATGTTTAATTGTATGGGCTCTCAGAAAATCAAGGAATTAAGGCATCACTGTGGAAAGATTTCAGAAAACTGGAATACTTCAACAATCAGTTTTAGCAGACAGTGGTTACCAGCCCATTGGGTTCTAACTAACTCTGGTAGTTAGCATCACAGAACTCAGACAGTAGGACTTAACAATTTATTTATATATTTTCCAAAGTTAATGGGAAATTGAAACGCATGTGCCCATCTTCCTAGGCATTCTGTGTTACATTTCCTTTTAACAACGATTCATGATTGATAAGTATCATAAATAAATAATAAATTGCATAATGCATGTTGCATAGAGGAATGCAGTCATCCATGCACTTATACAACATTTTGCTGACTTGGTTTGGTATTTATAGAAAATGTAAGATGCCCTTCCAAGTTGTTTAATAAACACTTCAAGAATAGAAATCTGCAAAAATGCTTTGAGCAGTAATAATACTGAATAGTAAACTTTAGAGGTATATATTCAAGTTCGCCTGAAAACTACAAATCTGTGTATTACACTGCAGAATGCTTTTGCCTTGTTATCACCTGTCCATGACATGGTTGACTTACAGAGATAAATAGCAGACAGACACATAAAAGAGAAGAGCCCTTTGGCATCTTTAATCTGGGAGTCAGAAGAAGCCTATTGCTGGGATATGTGCTCTGAGAAGTACCAGAGTATGGGGCTTGTGAAGGAGAAGCAACAATTTCAACTCCAGCCTTGGTATTTACACGGCAGGACACCACAGCTATCAGCTGCTCATTTTTCAGGGCTCCTTCTTCTCAGAACTTGCTGGCTGGGAAAGCAGTAAGGTAACAGCTTTGACAATGATTTCAGGAGGAAATTTCAGACATCTCTGCAGCTCTGTTGATCTGGTATGGGTGCCGGTAGTGCAGGGATCAGGGTTTTCCTCCTGCCTCCCTCTCGGGTTTCCTTCAGCACTATTATTTCTCCTGTTAATGTGTAGGATTTGATTAGCATTACTATTTAGCATTTTTTTTTTTGCATGCCTTTTTGCTTCACAAGCTGCAATTTTAAATTATGAATATAAACTGGACAATGTACTTAAAAGAGTGCATCTTTTAATAAAACAGACAATTTCAAAAACACATTTTAAAAACTCGTTGCTGGTTTCTTCCAGGGTAAGCAAATTGATGAGAACAAAAGCAAATGTTTTCTCAGAAGATTTCTAAAGATTTGTCCAGTTTCTTTAAAAAAATCCCCCAAACACTGAGCTGCAAAGCTACCAGTAAATGTGCAGGTATTCAATTTTTAAACTAAAGTGCATTAAATTATTGAATACAAGATTTTTTAGATGGAAAGTTGAAGAAACAAGTATTCTCATGCATGCTGACTAGCACTAACGTCAAAGTGGGCAATTCAGTTACAAGTTACAGTCAATTACTTTTCTGAAAGGAGAAACTACGCTGGAAACAAAGCAGACCAAGGGCAAGCCGGCTCTTTAACGCAGCATTAGCACACGGATGAAGAAACACATTAGCTGAAACACTGGCTACATGCTGAGGGCCTGGTTGTATGCAAAAGCAAGCAATGGGAGCAGACTGCATTCAGCACCCAGCTACCATGGACACAGACAATGGCGAGTACTGGACTGGGGCAAAAATAACTAATAAAAGAAGAGCTAAATGCTCTCTGTGTTCTCGCAAACTTACTTAAGCCTGCTCTTGAAATTTGTCAGTCTTCAAAATGTTGTAGTTCAAGGAAATTCTTGTTTCTGCGCAACTTTTCTTTTGTACGGGGTGAATCAGTTATTTTTGTTGGGCAGGAGTAAAAGGAGCTGAACCTGGCTGCCAAGATTGCATGCTGTGCAATGCATACACCTCCTCAGAATGCAGTCATTTGCTATTTCCATGGTTTTCATGAGACATCTGGTGGTCAAAAAGCGAAATCGCAGAGCATGCAGAGACCTGCTTGTGTGAAGAATGGAGTCTTGTCCTGCAAGGTCTGTGAAGGCTGGTGAATAGAATTAAATCCAGCTAGTGACCGAACACGAATGGTCTTCCCCAGTGATCAGTCTGGGGCTGATCCTTTTTAAGGATCTTTATTGATGACCTGGATGAGAGGACTGAATGCACATTCAGTAACTTTACAGATAACACCAAGTTTGGGGGAAATGTTGATCTTTCTAGGTGTAGGATGGATCTGGACAAGCTGGATAGCTGGGCTGAGTCCAAGCGGATGAAGCTCAACAAGACAAAACGTTGAGTCCAGCACTTTGGCCACAAAAGCCACAGGCAGTGCTACAGGCCTGGGGCAGAATGGCTGATAAACTGTGTAGAGGAAAAGGATCTGGGGATGTCACTTGGCTGAAAATGAGCCAGCAGTGTGCCCAGAGGGCCAATGGCATCCTGGCTTGTATCAAAAATTGGGCAGTCAGCAGGAATAGAGAGATGATTTTCCCTCTGTACTCAGCACTGGTAAGGCTGTCCCTGAAGTGCTGTATTCAGTTTTGGGCCCTTCACTACAACAAAGACATTGAAGTCCTGGAGCATGTCCAGAGAGAGGCAACAAAGGGAAAGGAAACGAAGCTGATAAAGGGTCTGAAGCACAAGTCTTATGTGGTGTGTTTGAGGGAAGTGAGATTGTTCAGTCTGGGAAAGAAGAGACTCAGGAGAGACCTTATTTCTCTCTACAACTGCTTGAAAGGAGGTTGTGGTGAGGTGGAGGTTGGCCTCTTCTCCTGTGTAGCTAGCAGTAGAACAAGAGGGAATGGCCTCTAGTTGTGCCAGGGGAGGTTCAGGTTGGATATTAGGGAAAAATTTCTTCATTGAAAGAGTAGTGAGGCATTGGAACAGGCTGCCCAGGGAAGCAGTAGGCTCACGGTCCCTGGAGGTGTCCAGGAAATGTGTGGATGTGACACTGAGAGACATGGGTTAGTGGGCATGATGATGACGGGCTGATTGTTGGACTTGTTGAACTTAGTGTTTTTTTCCAACCTTAATGATTTTATGATTCTATGATTCTATGAAGGAATCAGCCTGCCACTGCCTCCCAATCATTTAATTTTATTTTTACTGCCAGGGAATAAGTGAAATAAAAGCTGTCCATCTGTCTAAAATGTATTAATGAACTAGGGCAGACTACCTGCGTTGGGCCAGGAAGAAGCTTTGAGGCTATGGAGGCAGCAAAGGGACATTTTCAGCCTTCTGTGTAGGGAGGACCTCTACCCAGATGATTCCCAATTGAGGTGATGCCTCGCTCATGCCATCTTGCATTCTGCCTTTAGTACGGAGTACAGATGCAGTGTTCTGCAGAGCATGGAAAGTGAAACACAATGAGAAAGCGTGCATTCATGTTTCACTTCAGTACTGTGCGGTTTTTCATGTAACACTTTCCTCCTGAAGATGGACACCACTCAGCCAATTCTCCCAAATCACATGAACAACTGTTTTTGTAGTGCTAGTACCACATACAGTAGGACACTGAGAAAACCCATTTTATTTTTTTTTAATAGATTAAAAAAAACCAACAACAGAACATAAGAAAAAGGAAGAAGGAAGGTATGAACACCACAGGGAAGCAGAAAGCAGAAATGTTTTAAGCATTTTTATGAGCTGCTATAAGTATCTGCCTCTTTGATTATAATTAAAATTATTACAAAATTATATAATAGCATTTCTCAGCTGGCCTGGCCTTTCACTGTGGCAGGTGCCATTAAGATACACACAGAAAATGACAGTACTTGTTTCAAAGAGACTATCAGCTAAGAGACAAAAATAAATGAGAAAAATAAGTGGATTGTGGAGGGGTGATGGGAGACATTGCAACAGTAATATGACGATGGGTGCAATTCTAAACTTCACCATACACCATATTGTGCTATTAAAAAACCTTGTGAGAAATCGCAGAAATAATGAGAGTCCATGCTAGGTGCATTGGGAACAAAACTAGTAGCAAAAGGTAAATCCTAGGTAACAAAGTATTAGCTGACTACAGAAGCCATTCAGTAGAAGCTATCTCAGGCCAATCACTCTAGTAATGAGACCTTATAGCAACCATTTGCCCCCAAGCTGCTGTTATCCACCTGATAATCTGATTCTTGCAAGTGTGCAGTGAGAAAAATCATGGCCTTTCAGACCCCTTAAAGTCACAGTTCATTAATGGAGCCTTTCAAGAGATGGAAATTCCATCCGGCAATGGAATGGACACTTGTTCTCATCAGCAACGGCAGCAGCAGAAACTTCCCAAATTCTATGCAGAAAAGTATTTCATAAAGGATTAGTGTCAGGTCGACCTGGATATTTCATTTTGAAATGTGGCCATTTTAGATTTTGTAGTAAATTATAAAATTAAATGGAAAAATTAAATTGAAAAATTAAATGCAATTTATGGAAATTAAATGGGGAAAAAAAAAAAGTATGTGTAAAAATGTTTCCACATGTGTCAGCTTCTCTTTTGGTTCCCCTTTGTTGAAGGAAATTACTGAGGAAATTATGCCATTTTGTATATGTGTCAATGGTAATGAACGTGGATTCTCTATTCCAACATTGTTTTCCCAATAAGCTCTATTAACTAGCTCTCACTGGTCTTCCAGAGCCAGATTTTGTCCCCTTCCTTGAAAATTGAAACAATTATTCTTGGCCCAGCAGCATACAACTGTAACACACTGGCTCAAAAGAGCAAAAGAGAACAGCCCTTCTGCAGCTGAATGCAAGATACTCATGTGGGAGTCAGTGCATCTCTTACAAGGTCTCCTGTTAGAGTGAGGCTGACAAAATGGCACAGATATGGATGGATCCATCTAATCTCCTTGGAGCATGCTGTGCTGGATAAATCTGATGATATAAAGCTTTACTGTATTTGCCTCTATTGTTTGCTGAAACAGTTGGGAATAGCTGATGTGGTAGAAAAGCCCTTACAAATGAAAATTTGTTTCTTCTGCAATGTTCCTTGGGATATGGGCTCCAGCAGAGAATGAACCAAGACCTGAAGGCTTTTCTTTAAGTGTTGGCCATGGTCTTCCTCCTAACCATAGAAATGGATGGTCTAATACATCAGGAAGGCATTTTCATCCTTCATTCTTATCAACCCAATCAGACAGACCCACATCAACACTGACTCTTCTAAGGATTCCTTCCAACCATGAGAAGGGAATTCCTGTGTTTCAGAAATGTGTGCTTGTGCTCTAAAATGTCACACGCATCAGCACAGAACAGTCACAGTATGTTGTTCTGATGTAAAAACTGAGGAGTAGCTCTGTGCCATTGCTGTTGCTGCTAGTTCAGGACTGAGCACACGAGAAACATGAAAGCAGCAGGCCTGACATTACAAACTTCTTTCTTTCCTTCCTCTTCCTGGTTTTGTTTGTGTAGAATATGTATAATTTTTCAGTATATAATTTTCTTTGTTAAGTGAAATAGTCTCTGGAGCAGTGAAATTGTCCCTTAATCTTCTACAGGAAACACTATGAATAGAGCAAAAAAGATGCATAAAATCCATATTTCATTTGCAAAAATAATGTATCACTTAAAAAAACTTGGTTTATGACATCAGCAAAAGGAATAGAGAAACACAGTACTCCATGTAAAATGGTATTATAACCAGTGCAATTTAAATATTCATACTGCAGTTAATTGCCTCAGGGCAAGCCTGGATTCAGTCTAAGCAAGAAAGTAGGTTTACAGCTGTGTTGCTACACTGATTCAAAAATCTGTAATATGGATATGGTTTTGGATTTAGGGCACTGTGCCTCAATATTCTAGGCTGCTACTTTCTTCACTAAGCTATATCAGGCCTCTTAGTTTCTGTGCTAGGCAGCTATATGGATGTAAGTTAAGTGTTTAAGACAAATATCACAGAATAATTAAGTGGGATAACAATGCCCCCCTTTTTCATGGTAGTAATTAACAGATAAATTAGTATTTTGTAACTATTTATATGCTAAAATACTGACTGAACTTTGCTTCTGAGCAGGCATTGGTGAGAATGCTAAGCCTGATCAGACAACATGCTCATCTCTTCCTCTTGCCTGTAAGGGGAGTGTAGCCAAGATCAGTGTGGAAGGCTTGGACACTGTCTGCTCTGATATTTCCCATCTTCCTTGGTAACAACACTGTAGTTCATGTTAAATCTGCTTGGCAATTGATTCTGAGCATATTTGCCTCCGGGCCTCTGCAGGAAGTTTGGCACCAGCTTTTGTGCTATCCAGCCTTGAAGTTGCACTGGACTCCGTTTATATCTGAGTGATAAGTCAAAAATGCTAATAATATGTAAATGAAGAATTTAGTTGTCATCCACAGAGGGCAATTATATATTACCCCATGTACCAGAGCATCACAGCGAAAGGATGGAACAGGCAGCTGTTCCGGTTTGAGAAAAGTGTTGAACTTTGAAATTCCAGTCACTAAAGATCTCTTTGAAATAAGATGAAGAGGGGAAAAAAAAAAAGCTCATAGACCAGCCTAGAATAGACACTTGATTAGGCACAACTCCTAATTAAGCTGTGGAACTTGTTTCACATATCTAATGGAAATCAAAGGTATGAAACTGTTCAGAATGCAATCAGACATATTCACAAGGAAAAGTCAAACAAGGACAGAACATCAGAATAAGGATACACTTATTATCTCAGTGATTCCTTAAGACACAGACGCCCGAAAGCTATAAGTATATGAGGAGAAAGCATCAATATAGATGTGCCATGTTCTGGGTGATCTTTCCCAAGCTTCTGCTAGCACCTGCTGGTAGAGGTAGGCAAGCAGGTTTAACGAAACGCTGCTCTGAGACAATACAGCAATTTTACGCTCTTTGGTCCCCATCTCTTTTTACAACATTGAGGTCCTGTTGTCCCCGGAACTTCAGTCTGAATATCCTACGCTATATGTGGGTACAGAAAAGAACCAAGTTAATTATTGATTTTTTGTCTGAAAAATGGATTATTGATAGACTAACTTCTGGTAATACGGTATAAGTAGATTTGATCCCCGCAGATCAATTGCTGTTTTCAGGAACCAAATACCACATGTGACATAAAAGCATTCCCACAGGAAATCTATTCTTCTCTTCCCAAATGTCATTATCTAAAAGTGGATAAAGATTATTTGCATAGAGAACTTGGAGAAGATATTTTTCAGCTATTAGAATGCCGCTGGGATTATCACATTCAGAAGCGATGATTTCTCCTTCCTTTTATTTTTCTCTTAAATGGATGAAAAATTCAGCCTATCACTCTGGATGTTACTTCATTTTTCCTTTTTTTGCGGGTAAGAGTCAGCAATTTTTTCTGTTTTTCACAGTTTTGTTATAATGCAAAAGTATAAAAGACAATCATTCTTTTAGGAGTGGGAAAAACAAAACATGTTTTTGTTCCTTTTTTTTTGTTTGCTGTTTTTGTTTTGGACTGCTACTGGAGTCATGCTGAAGAAAACATATGTGTTTTGATACCATGTAAGAAATATGGATATAATTCGTAACTCTACAGTGTAAAAAAGAAATACCTTGCTCTTAGCAGTCGTAGAAACAGAAATCATTGAAATCAAATGTGGTAAGGACCTCAGTAATTCATCTAATCTAATCTTTTGGTGAAAGGCATCAAATGTATCTCAGACAGTGGCAAAGATGTTTGTCAAATGATTCCTAAATGCCTCAAAAGAAGGAGATCCCTCAGCATTTCTCTGCATCTTGACAAAAGACTCATCATTCTCCCAGTAGAAACTCCTCTGTGTACCTCACTTTGCTAATCCTTGGTGGCCAGTTCTGCTGTGGCCTTGCTGGGGCAGGGGATAATGGCCCCATGGCTGACATGAGGGCCTGGGACCTGAGCAGACTGAGGGGAGCCCCAGCGGCTGAGAAAGAACCTGGGGCAGGGATAGGCAGTGTTGAAGATGCATCAGGGCTGGGAGACTTCAAGCTTTCCCACCTCTACAGCATGATCAGCTGTTTGTGTTTCTGGTGCTAAAAGGTGGTGGATGAAGTAGGCTTGCTCTGAGGTTTTTAAGACTGGTATGGTTCTCTGCCACAAAGGACACACTTTTACCTCTGTTTTGTGAGATGGAAAGCTCAGTTTTACCAAGAGAGGAAACACTGTCCCTTTTGGTGCAGTTACCAATGAATCAATCCAACCTTGAAGATCGTTAGGATCAATTGTTCAAAAACTCTTTGTATGGGTCACAAGATATTGAAAGGTGAAAAATGTCGTGCTGGTAGAATATACTTACAGCCATATCTTGTCTGAGGAAAGTCAACATTCAGTAGTGTGAAAAGCCCAAGCAGCATCTGGAAATGGATTGACAGCATGTGTCAATATGTAATGTCCTCCTGCCCTCTGATATAGGTCTGAGTCACAGTCCTTCTTTTGCCATTAAAACAGGCAGATGGAAGTTGTTGAGATTGCTGCATGGAGAGCATTTCCAAAAACTTGGTTCTGAAATTTCCAAAAAGGTACAAATCAGGGTGAGGCACTGTGTTGTCAGCTATTTTTTTGCTCTCATCTCTGCCTTTTTTAATCAAAATGAACTGGGAATTGTCTAAACTCCAAGATTGTTGTTCACATTTACTTGAAAATAAATATATTGCCTTTAGAGACTATTATATGTCTGCAAAGAAGATGTTTTTTTTCTGATACAAAAAAGCAATTTACCAGAATAAGATTTTCTTTTTTCCTGGAACTGTGGTACTTAATCATTTCTAAGCAAATGTGGGAAAGAACTGTCGTATGTCCTTTGCTTTGTAAAGAACCATTAAGCTTTGGACCTATTAGCTTGTGTTTGGAGGTTTCATTTATCGCTCTTTGTAGTTATATAATGAAATATTTATTGAAAAAGAAGCAACAGTTAAATCTCTTCCATCAGTAAACAAGCATCTCCTTCACCTTGTGAAAATGGAGGATAAACTGATCTGCAGTTAGACTACAGCAGGTACACGTGCTTGCTGAACACATCTTGTCTGAAGAGTGGAACATCTGCTCTCAGATTTCCTCTAGGAATTCGTCTTTTAAGCTATTACAGTTTTACTTTCTGCCAAGGATTTTGTTTACCACTCTCACATGTTCAAATTTGCTAACCTGTGGTCCATCCAAACTGTATGACAGTAACTATGGGATCTAAAAGATTCTGTATGTAGTATTCAGTCTTAAAGTTTGCAAGCATCTGTTTTCCCATAAGTTTGTGCACAACTTGCATAAGGAGTTCTCTTGTGCCTTTGCTTGTTAGACACATGAAGAATTCATTTGCTCGTAGTTTCTGGTTTCCTTTTAGGCACTTTTATTTCATGATTATTTACAATTTTATATGTTACTTTCATTTTTATATTACCTGATGGTGCTGCAATATTTTATAGGGTTTTACTGTTCAATTAATATAAAACAGTTAGATTTAGAATAATACTAACTTCTGGCAGTTCAGATGCTTAGGAGAGTCCCAGAGGCTTTCTGTGCATGCCAACATCAAATTATTTCTATAATAATGGGTAATGATTTATCTTTTCTACATGCTGCTTTTTCTTTAGGTCGTTGAACAAATTGGTTTCCAGCGAGTTATTAAGAGAGCGATTATCAAAAGGATTCAGTTCTCATCTACAAGAAAATAATGATTTTCAAGACCTTAGAAACTTACCTTTGCAGTGTGTTATACCAGATTTTCAAGCAAACCTGACACCTGATGCTGGGTCCTTAAAAACTTGAATACCTTTTCTGATGCCTAAATTGGAAGTGGGTATTGCTATGAGTCTGTTCATACACACCTTTTATGTGATATTAAGTTCCCAAATTACAATCTGTAGTCCTGGATGAAAGATAATGTACAATGTTAAACACATTCAAAATAAGTTCTGGATTCCATACAAATATATTTTCCCATACATGGGAATCACCTACAGCTCTGAGAGTCTAAGTCTGTATTTCATCTGATGGGTTTCTCACACAAAAGTTAATAGACATGGAAAGGGAATCTATTGTGCAGACTCCAAGGCTGGCAACATACCTGCTTCAACCTGATCTCTAAAAGAACTGTCCTTTCTGTTGTAGCTTCTTCTCAGTGTTGCCAATCTCAATGTTTTTCTTGTTTGGTAAAGTACAGGAAATGAAAATTCAGTATGAAAATTTAGGAAGAAGTGGAAAGAACCATAAAACTAGTGTTCATTTGGTGAGCCATCCCACCACATGAGTCCATGATTCTTGCAGTAATTAACAACTGTAACCTTCTACCTGTTCCTCTTTACTGATCTCAGAGGAAAGATGACCTTCAGAAGCCAAGGAACTAAACTTGGTTATTAAGAATGTCAGGTCTTGGTTTTGTATTTGAACTTTTCCCAAGCAACTGGGGCAATATCTATCTGTCACATTAAAGGTATTATTTGTAAAAGAAATAATAAAAACGCCCCCCCCAAATTCATCAATAAATTCCATTTACATGCTTTCCAAGAATTTATCAAATTCTCTGTAACTCAGTTTGTATCAGTGTGTCAAAAACCAGCATTATTACAGCTTTAGAATCCCAAATTTGTCTACCAAAGGGAATAACCAAAGATTCAGACGTGGTTTTCCCATCCTAATTGTAGAAGCCTGTAGGCACACCACTAATGGAGCTTTCCCAGTTCTGCTCTTTTGTGGGATGCTGAAAGCACTAGCTATGGGATTCAAACCAGAAAGCTTAGATTCAGTTACAGTAAAAAAGCAATAACCTTATGTATAGTCTGAAACTCACAATCAGTAGTTACGTCGGACAAACCTGGCTAATTAATGTATTAAATGCACCAAGAGCGTGACCTACTCTGTCTCCATCCATCTTAGAATCATGGAATCATAGAACCATTTGAGTTGAAAGAGACAATTAAAGATCACCTAGTCCAACTCCCCTGCAAAGAAAGAAGAAACATCTTAATTTCAAAACGCTGGTTGGAAGGAACAGGGCATGAAAGTTGAGGGATTGAAGCATCTGAACCAGAGAACCTCCTGGACCCTCTAGGGAAGCATAGTGCAGCAGCACCAAGCTTCTCTCCCCTCTGTGCCTACACAGAAAATTGCCACCACTGCTGCTTTTGATATCTAAGGACTTTGTTTGGACTTTTTAGTTAACACACCTTGGCTGACACATTAAAAGCATGAAATGTAAGAAGAAAATCCAGCTCATTTCTTTTTCTTTGTTAATGTTTTAGAACCCTGAAGAAGATTTCAAATTGCCTATAAGTGAGAACTGGGAGCTATTCTTTTATAAATGAGCATGGAGTAAAACACTGATGTGCTCTGTCCTCATGTTGAACAGAGAAATCTGCTTGCTGAGTTGTTTTCTTTTCCCTTCTCTCAGTATATTCCACACCTGTCACTAATGAAATTAGCTGCAAAAGGAAATGATGTTTCTGATCTCTGAAGCATGGTATACAGAGAAAAATCTTTTGAAGGAGAGTGTACTGCATTGCCAACTCTTCCTCCTCTCCTATCGTGTTTAAAAACAGCTGATTTCAAACTCAATCTTCAGTCTCTAAACACTCACTTAACCAGGAGAACAGGAAAATGGTGACTTGTATAATGACATTCATTGTTTTGTCTGCATTCGTTAAATAAGATTCCTGTAAATGTTCTCATTCATCAGAAATTTGCAAATTGAAAGGAAGAACCAGTTATACTGCAGCTTCATAACAGTTATTTAATTTCCTGATCTGCTCACTGCTAAGTCTGATCTCTCATTTTGCTCACCACCCACCACCTGTGCTCCGGGTATAGCCATCCAGAAGAAAGGCCATTCGGCTCCCAAACCTGGCTTCATAAGTCAATTAACTGCATTTTTTTGTCTTGGCCAAAACACCACATGGTGCAGCTCTGAAATGAATGATGAGGAGCTGGGCAAAAGTAATTTGGAATAGCATTCATCCACCTGTACATAGTGAGGGACCTCTGGAATCTCCAAAAAATAAATGATCAGATAGTGGAGTGATATCAAGCATTTATAACGGCATAAAGGCAAGCGTTGAGAAGAAATTGTAGATGCTGTCATTCATGAATCCACAAATGTGTTCTCTTCCTAATTTTACCCATATGCAGCTGCATATTCTTCCTAATTAATGAATTGCCCTCAGGTTACTCACCCAGACAGATCTAATCTGTCTCTGTCCAAAATGACTATGCTCTGTCCCATATTAAAGATGCAAAAGGCCACAAATTACTTTCTTCGTCTTCCCAATGAGAAAATAGCTGCTTACTGAATAGCATTCTCTCCATGTGGCATTCAGGATGATTTCATCAGTTCATGGCTTCGAAGCTCTGAGTACAAGTGAAGTAAAACATCTACTGCTAAAAGTTTCTCAGGTCAGATTCCCGTTCAACAGGAGAAACATTCACTTCAGGTTTCAGCTTATAATAAAGCCATGAATGCAATGAAATGTGTAAATATACATTCTTTCATCTTTAAAGCACTTCATAAATATTAACCTATCTTTCCTGGGAATAGTTTCCAAGTGAAGTCACATGATAAAGATGAAAGTTCAACATATTGTGACAGAAAGGTATTTTTTTCCAAACCTTGTAATGAAATACGTTGTGGAATTAGCATATAAGGTGAAATATAGATAAGTGTGTGTCATCTTTAATGCTAATTGACCTCCACTGTCGCTACAAGAATAAGGATGTAAGCAAATTTATTGTGAATTTTACTGCTCCTTTCTTACATAAATTGATAATGTTACCTCCTGAAGGCCTCCAGGGGAGGATACAAGCTGGTAGATGAAAGACAAAATCACCTTATGCTCCGCTGTTTGGTATGAAATAGAGCATCAACAGTACTCAGTACTCTAAGAATTGGAACTGATAGTGCTGAATGTGAATTCCCTGCAAAAGTGCAAGCAACAGAAACAGTTACTTGTTGAAGCTGAAGGGAAAGAACGTCCATACAGCTTGAGTTCTGGCTCCAGTGTGAACACTGCAAGTAGCCTGTTGGCTACTACACTAATACTGTGGCAGTTAATCTCTAGTTTGAATTTACCACTGAGAGCAAGCTTTATTAAACCCCCAAATCTTATGTACATATGACAATAAATAGAAACAAACACACAAAAACCAGGTAGATACTGCAAAACTCTGTGATAAAAGAGACAGAAGGCAGAAGTAGAGATGTCATATTCATCTTACAATTTGAGACCAATATTACTGCATTTTTTTTTCCCCTTACAGGGTCAGCAATCTCTCTTGTGCCTACAGTTTCCCATTCATCTCTATCCTCTCTGTTCAGATTGTGAAGTTTTTGGATGACAGCCGCTTCAAGCAGGTGCACACAGTGCCTGGTACAATACACTGCCTGTACTAGCCAGTACGTTGTGGTTTGATCATAATGTGAATTAAAAAAAAAGAGGAGGAACACTGAAAAACTCTCTGTCACTGCAAGAAGCTAATACTGGAAGAACATTTTATGTTCATCCTTAATTTCAGAGTAAAATAAGTGAGAAATGTGAATGAAACAAACTCATCACCTAACTATTTAGAATGCATAAAAGCTTTTCTGGTTTCAGAAGTTTGCTTTTCAAATATCCTTTGATCAAATCATGTATGCAAGATTTAACTAGAACTTCTTAAAAATAGAACAGAAAAGAATGAGTTCTAGTGAACGGTACTTTGAGAATACATGTGGTTTTTGCATTAGAAATAAAATTTGCCTGCTTGGAAGAAACAGAAGTAACTGCAGTTTTTCAATTTCCCACCATTTTCCTACTTTTTTTGTAAAAGGTTCCTTGAAAATCACAAACTTCACAGCTGGCATGCTGGTAGCTTTGCTTTTTTATCCAGCTTGATTGGCAATTCTTACCTACCATGCCAGTAAGCCATCCTGTACACTGGTTATCAGTGTATATATCTGCTTTTCTAATTATGTTTGGATTTCTGAGAAATAGCTACAGTGTAAAGAATTTTGAACATCAAGCAGTCACCCACATTTAGGACAGTGCAATCAACCCCCTGGGAAGATAATAAAGGAAAGCCTGATTGCTAGTGGCAATAGGTTTTTTTTTTCCAGGTCACTGCACAGGGTGAGGCCTAGAAGGTGGATATTTTCCATTTTGCTTCTTTTTCTACTCATTAAAAAGGCCAGTTTAGTCGTCCTTATTTTAGACTTTTCCACATGATCCATAGTTAATGCTCTTCAGATGCAGAAAGTTCTATATGGATCTTTTATATTACTCAAAGATTAGTATGTTGCAGTTCCAGTACAGCTCTTCAGGGTTTGCACTACACTACGATAAAGGAATTTTTCTTCTTTTTTGGACATGTTATTTTAATCCTTTAGAAGAAAAAAATGGAGTCGATTTTATTATTATAGATTTTGAGTTTTTTAAGACTATGTCTTACTGGAGAGCGTCCAGAGTGGGCCATGAAAAGGATCCAAGGGCTGGAGCACCTCTCCTATGAAGACAAGTTGAAAGAACCGGGCTTCTTCAGCCTGGAAAACAGAAGGAGACCTCATTGTGATTTTCCAATATTTAAAGGGAATTTATAAACAGGAGGGAAATTAACCTTTTACTTGAGTAGACAGAGACAGAACAAGCAGGAATGGTTTTAAAGTAAAGGAAGGGAGATTTAGTTTGGTTGTCAGGGGGGAAGTTCTTTACTGAGTGGTGAGGTGCTGGAACAGGTTGCTCAGAGATGTGGATGCCTCATGCCTGGAGGCATTTAAGGCCAGGTTGAATGGGGCCCTGTGTGATCTGATCTAGTACTTCATCTAGTGGCTAGGAGGATGTTCTTGTTCTTTAGTGATTGCCTTTGAGTTTATAACATCAGGTCAGAACATAAAAACCCTTTGAGGATCAGTTATTGTGTACCACTGCAAAGTAATCGTTATTGACTGGTATCAGAGTTGGCAGTCAGCTTGAGCTCCAAAATCTTTATGAATTGAATTGGTTCTCAACATCTGAAATTTTGCTTTTAGAAGCTATCCTAGCAGGTTTGTTATCTTCGACTGCCAAGGTATTGACGCAAGCTGTATATTGCCCTCTTGTTAGAGATTAAAAACTCTTTGCAAAGCATCAGCTGACCCAAGTTTTATCACTTGCATGATTATTTCTGGAAGCAGGATATATTGGTGCAGGGTGACTAATTTTTAGTTACTAACATCTTTGATTCTTCCTATCAAACGATCATAAAAAGCTTCTTAAATATAAAATAAGCTGGTGGTTGGTACTATTCCGAACCAGTGGGCCCTTCGTGCTATAAAACCAGTTTCTCCCAGTACAAATCCTGTAGCACACAACTTCTCGGTAGTACCAGCAGCAACATCTTCTAGATTTTTCATTCTTAACTGCATGCTGCAGTGGCCAGAGCTGTAAGTCATCTCCAAACTATGGAAATCTGGTCATTTATAGACTAATTGGCTATTTTGACGTGCAAATTCCTGTGCTGAAATTGCTCTATAGGAAGCATTTATACAAGCTTTACATTAATAAGATGATCAGAATGAGAGCCAAGGGAGCTGTGGAGACAGAGCTGAGTGCCCACTCCTTCTAAGAAAAATGACTTACCTAATTGCAGAGAGATGAAAGATGTGAAATCAGTGCCATGTCCATATGTTCTCCCAGAGAAGGCTATGACAGCAGTGTACTTGAAGTATATGAGAGGGACCGGTTCCTCTGTGTGTGGCAACTTGCCTCTTAGTATTCTCAAAAGCAGAGGAATATCAGAGAAAAATCAGCTTTGTGCATCTTATCAGCCAGCAACATACAATGGTACCTGTGGATAAAGGGTAAAGGAGAAGAGGAAGAAAATATTAGAGAGAGATGTAAACCTTTGGTGGTGTAACCCAGACCATGAGCCAATGGGTGCCAAAGGGACTTGTACTTCTCTTGATATCTCTGGTAAATTTCCCTATGGCAATTTCATACCAGTACCGAGGCAAAGACCTATTTGAATACCTATTTTCTGAAGGATATATTTACAAATTGTCTTGAAATTGTTAAGGGAATAAAACTCACGACATGTTTTCTTACTCATGCAATTACGGAGTACATCTCCCTGAAGCCTGAGAGTAGACCACATCTAGAAAACCAAAAAAATAAAACTAAGAAGTGTCTTCCAGAGTTTGAAGCCTCAAGTACTTTTAAAGGCAACGGCTGTCAATGTTTGCTTTTGTGTTGACAGAATCCTTTTAAAAGGCTTTGCGGTGTGAAAAGCTGCTTTCTGTGGGTTTTCATAATGCACCAGGACAGAACAAGAAAATGTTTTTCTCACCATGGCTGGCCATGGAGCTGGCCGGGAACATTGTGTACCTGATCTGGGAGGCGATTTCCCGCACGGGCCTAGGGCAGAGCTGCAGAATGGGAGCCTGTGGATGTACCCTCATGTGGGGATGTGACTTTGAGGTGCTCTTCTGGGTGACTCAGATCCCTTAATGTGCTGAAGGAGGAGAGGGCTTGCAGCTGCCATAAAATGAGGGATAGGCTGCCCCATAGCTTGCAGGAGGTAAAGTGCTTTCATTATGAAGGCCTGGAGCAGAAGGAAGGATGGCATTGCCCTGTGCCAGCTGTAATCTAGCAGCCACAAGGTGGCACGAAGGCTTTGTGCTTTCTTGATGAAGCATATGCCATCAGGTAGCAGCTGCCTGCCTGCTCCCACTGCGTGCCAATCCCCCTAGTCTGCAGAGCTGCTAGCAGGGGCTGTGAGAGCTTCCGTTCCATATGGGAAAACAATCTCTTTCTGTCTTATAGGGTCAGTGGTGTCTGAAGAGTAAACACAGTGCAACACCTAAAGCAAACACTCACCTGGCTGCAACAGGTCTTGTGCAACAGGGATGCGAGAGCCCAAATGAGCAGCAGACATTCCCTTTGCAGCTTTCCTAATATTGCTGCTTTCTACCTGATGTGTAGCAGATACAATAAAGTGTGGAAAAGCACTGACATGGGTGGTTGCAGCTGCCTTTTCAAACAGATTGCCCAGACAGGTGATTGGTGCCCTATCCCTGGAAACACTCAGGGTTAGGGTGGACGGGGCTCTGAGCTATCTGACAGAACTGTAGGTGTCCCTGTTCATTACAGGGGAGTTGGACTGGATGGCTTTTAAGGACCCCTTGTGATTCAAATGATTCTATGATCCTGCATTGAAACATAGGTGAGACTGTGGTGGGAGACTTGGCAAATAAAGCTAACCTTGGTGCATGTGTCATACTCAGGTCATACATGATGACTGTGACACCCAGCAGGTTATGGCTGCTGGGGGTGGACAGGACAGGATGGGATGGGGTGGATGGATGGATGCATCTTGTACTGCTGCAGAGTCCGCTGAGGTGAAATTGAGTCATGAGGATGTGGTAGAGAGAGAGGGAATCTGAGGCTGGGTTATTAAAAAGTGTATCATGGGGCTTCTTTGAAGTGCATTTATGCAAACTTTACTGTACTCTGTGTAATATTGTTTCTGTTGGAGCCAGAGTTTTCCCTGTAACACAGTTTTCAGTGAACACTGAACACTGAACATTGTTTACAGGTCTCCATCAGAGATGCAGTTTCTGCTGTCCCCCTGAGAGAAGAGTTCTTATCCCTGGGTAGTTTTCCTAAAGGTCATGTGAGAGTGTAAGACAATGTGAAGTGAAAAGTTCATATACCTGTTGCTACGCAGATTCCACTAGCAGCTAAGTCCCAAGAATTCAATAGTCCCATTTGTTATATTTACGTATTTACAACTTGCTGTGTTTCTAACCAGGACTCGAGGCCACACAAGGATGTTAGCAGCGAGCAACAGTCTGGGGATGCAGCACTCAGAGGCTGTGAGTCAAAGCAACTGCAAATGCTTCTTTGCTCACAGGTCTCCAAGGAATTAGACAGCTGCACCCGGCTGCACTTTGCTCCTTTCATAAGAACTTCACAAGAAAGAAACCCCTAGCCCCCTCACACTTTTCCCATTTCTTGCTAGTTAAAAAAAAAAAAAAAAAAGTTTTAATATCTCTGTGACCTTTCAGTTTTATATTGTCTAACTGGAGCAGAGAAGCTATTTTCTTCTTGATGATGAGCTTCCCTTTCACTGCAGGCTCATTTAAGCTTAGGACTAATGTAGCACAGCACAGAATACCACAAGGATTTGAGGTTTTGTACTGCTGTTACTTGTTAACTATTCCTAAGTTTTCATGACCACGAATCATACATTCTTGGGTGCTATTTATAGAAATAGAAAAGAATGATCATGAGAAAGTGTTAACTTAAACCAAATACAAGCGTTGAAAACAGGAGGAATCAATGGACGTTTCTCTTCTCTTCACATCTTAATAGCAGGTTTATGCGTTTAGTCTGTGGATCTGTGCTTGGGAACTTTTGTCATCTTCTAATGTGCTGACATTACCTGGTGCTGTGTTCCAGAACAGCAGTGCAAATGATTTTTCATTAAGAAAAATATGAGGAAAACTCGTGATTCAGCTCTCCCTACTGCTTCTTCTTCCCCCAGGAAAATCAAGGAAGGACACCAACTATATTGAGCGTAATGACTAATAGTGCTGTTCACTAATCAACGCTGGAAGATGGGGAAAGATTCCTTCTGAAGCACAGCTTTTGCTCAGTTGCAAAGTCTCCTTTGATTACCTTGTTCTCTGAGGATGAGCAACGTGGAGTTAATTATTTTTAGTTTAATTCAAGGTTATTAATCATCTTCAAGCTAACAACAACTACAGAAAATCACCAATGCTTCCTTTCTTTCACCATAGATTTTCTGGTTTGGATGTATAGTTTTCTTTGCCATTGTAAATGATGCTACTTTCTACCCAGACTGGTGGAGGCCACACTCACTCAGAGACAACCATTTTGGAGGGTGAAATGGAATTCATTTTTACTGAAATCACTCTTAAAGAAGCTGAATGTTGTACTTCTCGAAATCCTTGGCAGAACCCATCAGTGGATATTTACCTTACAGATTAATGGCATTGAGTGTTTGGAGGCAAGAGGAGGTGTAACCCCTGAGTAGCAAACCCACGCTGTTGTCAAAAATGTGGAGTTCTCTGACCTCACTGAAGTCACCAGGAGTGTTGCCTTTGACGTCAGTGGGATCAGGTATTTATTTTAGAGCCATTCTGCCTTTTAGCTATGTGCTCCCAAGAAGGCACTGAACTTGCTCTGTTTCATGCTGTCCTGGGTAAAATAAATAGATTAGATATATAAATGCGTGCCTTTTAAGAGCATTGTGAAATTAGCAGTAATGCTTTTGGATGAAAGTTGCAACATAATTGTAGAATATAATGATGAAGAACTGATAGAATTCGTATGTGCACGTCATCAGCAAATTGCAGATTGCCTTTTCTCCAAACTCTGTGATGTGGAGATATTTTTCCCTTTCATAAACAGAACTTTAAATCCATATTCCTATATTTACCTTGTATTTCAAGCTTTCGGGGTAATATGAAAACATTCTACACTGAGAATATAAAGAAAGAAATGGAAGATATGGAAGTGAGCAGTACAGAAAAAGCAGTCCCTAGTCCAGCACAGAGCTGGCAGAACTGATCTGAGGAGTTACAATCAGTAGATATATTCAGAACAGAGTTACTTTCTTCCCATAGGTGAGAAGTTTGAATAAATCGTTATTGACAACAGTTTTATTTTGTCTGGAATGAATATACATATATTTTCCCAACAAGATAAGTGAAACATATTCCCTTGGAGTCCTTATTAAAAACAGCAAAACCAAAATCTAAACCATCTTAAATGGTTATCATTAGGAAATGAGATAAGGCTATTTCTGTAATTCTGTGTTCATACTTCTTGTCTTTTGTGTCACAGAGCAAATTCTTGTCACTCCTACATTTTAAATCAGAGAAGCTAACAAAAGATGCTTATCCAGTGGTAAAACATTCACTTTGTACCACTGAAACAGGAACAGTGCATATATTTTAGGGAGATCACAAATCTTGCTGAGGCTTAGAGGAAAGCTGTTTTCAACATGGAGTGAAATATCTGAGAGAAACACCCCAAAGTATATTAAATTAACTCCTTTTTCTAAAAGCCCATAGGATTCAAATGCGAAGTGAATAATATACTTACACTTGGTAGCAAGAAAGCCCCAGGAAAAGGAATTACACTACAGTGCAAAAATCATATTAAAGTTTCAGGATTTTAAACATATCCAGACAGTAATGCAGTTTATTATTTCAGCCACAGTGGTTACTGTGGACAAATCCCATTTCCTCTGGAGAGTCAAAACAGATTGGAGGATTGACAGAGAAAGTTTAGCCCTGCAATGTCCTGGCAACCTCCGGTTGTGTTGAGCTCTGTAATCTGCTGTGAAATACAAACAGGACCAAAAGCAACAGTATTTGCATAATGAGCCCAACAGACGCATACTGGGAGTTAAGAAATCACATAGGAGTTTCCGCAGACAGCCCTCATTCCTAGTGAGAAAGGTCAATAAATCTCGCCCAGTTCTGTCTGAAGTCAGTGAGAGCCCTTCCTGTGGCATTACAAGGGTCAGAGACTGATTTTTGACATTACAAGAGGCCATTACTAACATCTCATCTGACCTTTGCATAAGGCAGGCCAAGGAATTTTGCTCAATAGCTCAAAATATTTCAGAAAGACAGCAAGCCTGACTTTAAAGATTTTTTGAGTAATGGAGATTGTAATCCAATTTTGTATAAGTGATTAATTGACTCAGTATTACAGAAATGCATTTTATTAGAGGATAGAGATGGATCAAGGCTGTAATGACACACAAAAGAACATCTTGATGCTTTCTTTAAGTATAAAAGATAAGAATAA